CTCACAAGCAAAAGTAATTACAATTACATCAAGGGTTTGACAAAAGCTCACATTAAGCACAACAACAAACTGAAGAAAAATGAATCAAAAGCTTGAAATGATTAGGAGGGTAAAAACCCTAAAAGAAACATGAACATTTTTAACGCAAAGTTGTTTTCAAAAAAGAGATTTTTAGAATATTAATGTACCATATGAAAATATGCACAAATACGAAGCTAATGCAAAAAGAACCAATCCAAAATGACAAAAAATGAAGGAGTTGTGATTTTTAGAAATTTAATAACAATAAAATAAAATAAAAACAAAGGAATAAGCAATAAAAATAAAGGGGAGGCACTTGGTGGGTGTTGAACCCACCACCTCATGGCTGCCAGCTGAAAACTTTACCAAATGAGCCAAGGCGCGCGCTTGTTTAAGTGAGAGGAAAGAAAGACAAAAACATGGAAACAAGGCAAAATGGGAAAATAAATAAAAGGGTTGATCTCCACTATAGATCGAACCCAGGATCTAGAGGTGCAAGGCAATGTGAAAGTGAAGGCTTAACCACTGGGGTGGCGATATATCCGTGTATTATGCCACCCCTAATAACTTATGTACTTAACAAAGCAAGTGAATTGGGCCAAGGCAAGATGAACATGGGAGGCAAGCCAAAACATGAAAACGACAACACCGTAAATCATTCAAAACTTAACTAAATTTAACAAAATTTTAGTCTATCTCACATGAAATTTCACAAGAAAATCAATGGCAACCTCAGTTTTTCAAGATAATGCACACAACTCAAAACTCGAATGCAAATGCAATGTTAAGCTTGTGCAATGCAAAATGGTATCTTCAGCTCATGACATTAAGGATTAATGATATGTAATGGTATGCACAAGTCATAAATACATTGCTCATGGAATTTGGATGCAATCATGCAAAGATTACTTCAAACAAAAACTGGTGTGTGGACTGTCATGATGTGAACAAGAATTGCTTAAAATGTTGTTTGGCAAGAGGAGTAAAAGTTCAATGATGAAGCCTAAATAAACACCATACACGAAGTGATTCATGCATAATCAAGGATTCAAACATGATGCAGGAACTTGACAATAATGATGGCACATGAATTGAAACAAAAAAGAAACATGACAGCAAAACATGTGGCAAGACAAAAGAGCAAAATTCAAACAAACCACACATATGCAAATCTGTAATGCCTTAACAAAAGCACAACAACTTAAGAGAATTGTATCAGTTCAAACAAAAGGGTCTATTCTTGACAGTCTAGCAGTTATGACTCGTGGACTAGCAATTAACAAATTGGTTCTAACATGTAAAAAGCACTCATATACACAAAAGCCACAAATGGTCCTCAATAAAAAAAATCATGTCAAACATATTACATTCAAATCAAACCTTGAAAAGGGATGGTTACAACCATAGGAACAAGAACCTAGACATATTCCTAACAAGAACACCATGCTGACAGTTAACACCAACAAGGCATGCTAAACAAATCACAAATGCAAAACTTAGCAAGAGTTGGAAGTAAGGCATAACAGCAAAATCATGTTCATGAATTCAGGCATTTGGCAGCAACATACGACAATATCAATGATCAATAGCTGGCCCTAATTCTATATGTACAAGTCATTTTGCAACCACATGGCAAATATGAACCTACAACAAAAGTGGTGTTATGGCAGTTTCTAGTGAACCTAGGCATATGACAGCAAGTATGGACTTTACAATATGGAAAGGTTGGCACAAATCAACAATCAGTCTTAATACCTCTAATGCATACATCAGTTGCAAGTTTTAACAAAGTCATCATGGCAGTTGGTTCAAATAGAAAACACAAGGCACAAAGATGCAAGTACTCATGAAATTAACCAAAGAGGCTAACTAGCAAGTTCAAAACAGTTTCATATCAAAGGTTTGCAATGCATCAGAATAAGACACATAGGCACATCACAGTTTTGGCAAACTAAACAAAATGTGGACAAAATCAAAGTCACAACCACAACCCTATCATAGTGCCTAAGTGATGACAGTGGCATGATGCAAGGAATGAAACAATGCCATGAATCAAAAAGTATCAGATTTCATGTTAACAAACAAATGTAACAAAGGACAAATGGCAAGCAACAACTTTGATAAAATATGATCATGTCTCAACAGTTCCACCATAATGCCTCAAAATGACAGTCCTAACATATAAATCTAATGAAAACACCAACTGATGCAATTATGACAGTGCCAAACATCCAACACATGATTTCAAGGCTATAAGACTCATAAGTTAACAAACACAAGTCAAAAATAAAGCAACAGTTCAAAGCAACATGAAGACACACTTAACACATCAAAAGGCAAGTATCAAGCACAAAGCATATGTCATAACAGTTGCAAGCATCAAGACATCAAAAATAGGTATTAGTCCTCATTATTCTTATGAGTCATTCCAACAACCTTTTGCAAGTTCAATGAAGCAGAACCACTCTCAAGCAAATTCAAAATGCATTAAAGACCAAGTTAAAACACACAAATGATCTCAAAAGATGGTAGAACCAAAAATGACTTGTTGGTGGAAAAGTGTACATGGGCTGAAAAATGCAAGAACAAAACTGCTGCAGAACCAAAACCAAACTTGTTCTCAATAATGCATATATCACATAAACACTTATATGAGGGTTTCTAAATCAAAGTGTTAACTAACATGATCATGATATAAAAGTGGTTGCTGTAACAGAAGCTAGTTAATACAAACAAAACCACACAACATTAAGGCATGAAAAATGCAACCATCCTCACCTGTTCAAACATGACATACAATAGCCCTAAGAGACCTCAAATCTTAACACACAGCCACATAACATATTGCATAAGGATTATAAGAACAAAATACAATAATGAGCAGGCAAACAAAATGTGACAGATTCAAACATGAACTTCACATACACATAAAACACATTGTAACAACTAATGTATACTACTCATGTTCATGACAGTTGGAAAAAGAGATAGTAACTACCAACCTCTTGTAGACTTTCAAGCAAGCAAATATAGAAGGAAAACCTTGGAGCTTCCAAATGAAATCCAAATCCAATGCCTTGGTGAGAACGATGACCTTTCTTACACTTGAAGTAAACAAGTGGATATTGGACTAGAACTTGAACTAAGTGATGATTATGAGATTTTAGGTTATGGACATCTAGTATACCATAAACCTAAGGTGTTTGGAGGTTTTCAAAGATCAAAGCAGGCCTGGTATGCTGGGCAGATTTTGAGTATGAAGTCAAACTTTCCTTGGTTGAAAGTTTACTTCTGGGAAAATGAGGTTTTTTGCTGGTTTAAAGGTTTGAACACCTCCCATAAATCATTTGTGGATTGTGTGGATGGTTTGTGGTGGTTTTGGTTGAGTGAAAATGGTTTTGGAGGCTGTTTTGCTCAAGACAGATTTTTTTGAGATTTTTGGGTGGTTTTCTTCACTTGTAAGAAAATGCAAGGAAGTGTGAGAGAAATGAGTTTCTATTGGGTTGTAGAGTGCTCTGGTGTCCCTCTCAACATAGAGGAAACCTCTATTTATAAGCAAGGCAAGGCTTGGGGCAGATTGGTAACTTGGCACTTTTGGTGGGAGTTTTGAAAAAGTAATATTGCTTGAGATTTTGATGCAGCTGCAAGTTCAAGTCTTTGGCTCAAGCTGATGCATTACTCAAGTGGCATGAATGACATAATATTGATTGAAGTGGCTAGGCAGTAGGAGGGCTGTTTGCTGCAAGTGTTCCATAAAGTTTCTCTTTCTTCCTTTTCTTTGATTAAAATATTACCACTTGCCTCTAACTTGCAAGACTCACCAAACCTCCTCATTTTTTCATTTCTTCTCCTCATATCCTCTAAATATCAGATAGAAACATGATCCAAGGGCTGAGAATAGCTCAAGTGTCCAAAAGGAGAGTTTGTGAAAAAGTGAAAATGTTGGACTCAAGTGTTAAAACCTCATCTTGTTAAATTCATAACTCTCAACTCATAAGGGCTATGGAGGAGTTCTAGTACATTTTGGAAAGCCCTCATGTAGCTCTACAACTTTCATGTTTTCATGAGCTTAATATTCCCAACGGAACTAGGTCAAAAAACCTCTCAAAGTTGCTGAAAAACATGCTTAAAAAGTGAAATAACTTAAAAATTTTCTAAGTTATTTTTCCCTCTTGTAATGAATTTGGTCCTAACTCCCAATCTATGAATTTTCTAGTCATGGAACACTGTGGGACTTTTGTAGGAATTGTGAAGAGCTTTCCAATGAGCTTTGAACCAACTCAATTGGATGTGTGGTTAAGGAGTTATGGTCTAGCCCCTTTCAAAATCCTAATTCCCGATTTTTACGATTACTCCCCAACCTTGATCCAATGGTCATGAAACTTCATGGACAGGTGTAATATGTTATTAGGAACATTTTTTATTCCCACCTTGAGGTCAAATTCCTTATGAGTGAAGAGTTGACTTTTCGGTCAACCGAACGATCGATCAGTGACTACCGAGTCGACTGTTGATGCTCCGGGTCTTTTGAGGCCTTGAAGCTTCTTGAATAGACTTCACTAAGCCATATGAATTTTATGGACCATGATACCACCATTGTAACACCTTTTAAATCCAAAGTCAAACCACAATTGACTTTTCCTGATCGAAAATCCTAATTGGGCATCCTGAACTGCACTGTTCTTGATCCTTGGGTGACAACCTCAAATTGGATTCATACTTGATTCAATGGAGTATGTTTGATGATGTGGATACTTATTTCATGGAGAACCAATCCAATACGTTGATTGATTAACCGTCAAAACCTCGATTCTCGGTTGTATAGAATCCCGATTCCTGTATCTTAACAAAGACAAACTTGAAACATGTTAAGGTTAGATAATCAAATGAATATGATCCTAAAATGATGATGAAGATCTAAGGGGTCAAAATTTGGGGTATGACAATTTTTCATATTTATTAAATTCATCCATAGCAATTCATAGAATTGATAGTAGTTGTTGTTGATATACCTCGTTAGGAAGATTAACATCAGTAATCTTATGGTTACCCTTCAGAGTCGCAGAGCAATTTTGAGCAGCACCAAGTCTATGACTTTTAAACTCCTCCCAAGTACAATCAGCAAAATCTGCAACTCAAAAATCTCAGTCAAATCCAAACAAAACCTAACTAACAAAAAAAAAATGAAAGTCAAAGAAAAAACAATAACACATACGATTAACACCGAGCTTGTAACTGAGTCGTCTCTTATTAGTAGACCTGATAAGTTTAAGATTCTCCAAAAATATCTTAAACCGAAGCTTCATCTCATTATACTAGGACAAGATTTGTGCCTGCCTCGATTCCATCCTTATCAACTCTCCATACATTCTGCAGAACTATCTCATAACCATAAATATAATTGAAATGGAGAAATAGTTAGAGTTTCTGGATAACCAAAATAGCTGAAAAGATAGCTATGAAAAGGATGTATCTGAACATTCTCAACTTCTAAAATTGAAGCCATTCATTCAAGTGATGTTGCAAAATGAACCTTGTCAATAAAATGCCCCAACAAAAAGAGAGCCCCAGAAGTTATACAGTTTATTGAGAAAAAATATATAGCAGCAGGAAATACAACAGGAACATTAAATGAAAAGTTCCAGGAACAAACCAGAGTCTCACTGACAGCTTTGTGAACCAGGTCCTTTAATAGGGAATGAACCTGGAAGAATTCAATCGAAAAAGATATTTCAATGAGTATGAACAGAGAGAACTATATAGTCTATATTACTACCTTGATTGCAGCAGATTCAATGGGTGACCTCAATGCTTCAAATGCTGGAGTTTCAATTGTTTTTAAGGATCTAAGACCAGTAGCTTTCTGAATCCGTTGTATGTTCTCTTAATGGTTCCTTCACTTTCATTCCATTCAATATCTTTATTGTCATCCTGCAATGACAACAAAGAGCATCCAAAATATCTTGATTTAATACAATGACAACAAAAAGCAGTCAAATATCTTGATTTAATACAAAAAATTTAAACACAAATATCGGAGAGAAATTACCAACAGACTATATATACCTTTATGGCGTCCGACATACCCTATTCAGCCTCATCTCTCTTTAAGAGACTACAACAAAATTTTAGAAGAAAATACATCATTTTGTAAACCAAGTTATCCAACTACAGACAAATTTCAATGATTAAGCATATGTAATCATATGATCAAAATAGTATGAATGAATTAAGAGAATACTTTGAGTGTGTTAGGTGATGCCAAAGTTCTGCTATCCAAATTAGTCTACTGTACTGTTAAACAAAAGTGTCAGTGTGCATACTAAAAAAAACGAACATTTGAATCATACCTTAGAAGCCATGAGCCATTTGTTATCCATCCAGTCTTGATGTAGCCTCAACTGGGAATGTTTAAACAAATTTTATATTAAATATTTCTCTGTTGTTTCACCAAATTTCTTCAATGATCTCAGTTTGATCTCGTCGATAATAAACACATTTTAGAACGTAAGAGGTAAACCATTTAATGTTGCCTTGTGTCTTTGCCATAGTCACCCTCCTCTTATGGATGGCATGTACAATAACAACACAGCAGAAAAGAAAAGTTAGATTTTCAAAACTCAGGAAAGTCTTGGCCCAACTGTCGTATGATCGGAGATAATGGGATCAAGTCACAAAATCAGCATCTTGTAGAAGCCACTTTAACATGAGCCTGGTTGCATCAAAAATATTAGTTCATCAAACAATTTATCATCCTCATCATGCAACATTCATTCAAACAAAAGATGTGCATTTCATCAAACAGATAGTAGGGATTCTAAATTAAACAAACACACACAGTTTAACACACAAAAAGTTGTAGTATATGAAAGTTATAGACGCGCATAAATTGTGAAAACGATGACAACAATCTTTAATAGACCTTTCCAGTATTTTTCAGCTTCAAATCTCATACATACTTGCTGTAAGTAAGAGCAAAAACTTAGATTCACATAATCAAACTATAGATCTAAAACCATGAAACACAAACAAAACAAAATTCAAAACGATGTCGTTACGGTGTAACTAACACATGTAGCTTCTCAACAACTTGTTGATATCGCTGATCTTCTCAAAAGGTTGAGTCATGAAGGATGGAGGAAGAAAAGTTGAGATTGAGGAACAGTAGACAAAAAAGGGTTGGAATGTAGGTTGGTGAGAAACTGAGTAAGAAATGGTTGAAGATGGTGAGGGACGCCGTCGCGGCTGCGTTAGGGTTTGCAGAGAAAATAGAGAGAAGAGCGAAAATGGTCAAATGAAGCATAAGGGAGACGAGGGAAAAGGGGGGATTAGGGTTTTTTAGGGGAAAAAGAGATGAGAGAGAAAATTGGAAAGAGGGAGAAAGTGAGGGAAAGAGGAAGATAAAAGTTTTCAAAAAAACTTCTGCCACTTGGCAAAATTGGATCATGCTATTGGTTAAAGTTTTTGTATTTAATAAATTACTGTTGACCTTGAGTTGGGCATAATAATTTTAGGTGTGAAGAGTATAAATGGTAGAATGGTGACCATCTCTTGTGATGGGTAGATAGTTGATACGAGAATATAATAAACTAGTATAGATATTGTCTATTAAATTGTGAATGTGAATGTATTCTTTCTATTTTTTATTTATATATCACTTTGTCAATTTTACACATAATAAGTATAATTAATTTTGTATATAACAGAAAAATTATGCTTTATTCTACAAAATTATTTTTAATTTGATTTTTTGTTAATAATGTTAAGTGATTATAAATTAACCATAAAAGAAAAAAAATTCGATTTTCAATTCGAAATATTTATTTTTCCGAGAGAGAATGATACAAGTTCCAAACATTATTATAGTCCCAAGAGAATCCCACTAAATCAATTGAAATTGAAAAGGGTTAACTCAAAAGACACATGGGAAAATAAACTGCTTGTGTTGATATTTTGATACCCATTCGTAACTAGCATCTGTAGTTGCAGCAACAGCGCCATGAAAAATCAAGGTTCGCCATCGCCACACTCCACTAATGGCCTTGATGGAACTAGGCTAACAAAACACCAACCTGTAACTCCATCAACAGCGTCGTCCTCGCCGGTAATTTTCAATTTTGTTATCATATTATTATCAAAAAATTGAAATTAGGGTTTTTGTAATTTCACATTATTATATATTTTATATATGATGATTTTTCATCAATTGATGGTGCTATTATGATTAGGTTGATGCTGTTGAAAATAAGCAATCCGTGAAGAAAGATGATTGTGGTTCTGAAGCTAAAACAAAGCCTTTTGATATTTGCACCCCGAAACAAAGTGGAGGTGCTGTTGCTTTGAAACCATCTTTGTTTGCAAAGAACAGGGAAAAAAGGAAGGAAATGAATCAAAGTGGCAAAGAAATTGTGTTCTTAAGACCTGGAATGGTTCATTTGAAAGGTTACATTTCGATAACCGATCAAATTAAGATAGTGAAAGTTTGTAGGGAATTAGGGTTAGGGGATGGAGGGTTTTACCAACCTGGTTATGAGGATGGGACTAAGTTGCATTTGAAAATGATGTGTCTTGGTAAAAATTGGGATCCTCAAACGAGTAAATACGTAGATCAACGACCCTCCGATGGGTCTGTTCCGCCAAAAATCCCTCCTGAATTCCTGACCTTGGTTCACTCTGCATTAGAAGATTCACATGCAGTCACTAAACTCTCTAACTCCAAACAGCCTTTCACGTTCTCCCCTGATATCTGTATTGTCAATTTTTACTCTCTAAACGGCCAACTTGGTCTTCATAAGGCAAGTATATACATTCAGAGTCTTGTCAAATGGCAGCTATAATTAGAATTTGAACAAACAAATAGCATCTATAGCAACCCTATAGTACTATAGCGTATTAGAATTTGAACAAATAGCAGCTATAGCGTATCAGAATTTGAACAAATTGTTTGTTCTAATACGCCATTTTATACCAAATGCATGGTAGCTAACAGAGTTTGTACAAACGGCTATTTTCTGTGATATGCGAATTAGAACAATGCTTTTACACTTCAAAATTTTTAGCGTTGGCTGACTAATGACTGAAGTTGTTTGCAGGACAAGGATGAGAGTAAAGAGAGTCTTGATGCAGGGTTGCCCGTGGTGTCATTCTCTATTGGAAACTCAGCAGAGTTTTTGTATCGTGATGAAATGGAGGTTGAAGCAAAAAAAGTTGTTTTGGAATCTGGGGATGTTTTGATCTTTGGTGGCAAAGCTAGAAATGTCTTTCACGGTGTTAGTGCTATTAAGCCAGACACTGCCCCTAGCAGCTTGATTAACGAAACTAATCTCCGGAAACCTGGCCGATTGAATCTTACTTTCAGGCAGTATTAAAATGCCTCTGCGTTTTAACTATCAGATTAGTCTGACGCTTGTTTTGCCTGTTTTCTGGGTTAGGGCTAGAAATGCAATGATATGACATGCTAATTTTGTATCTATTTTGGGTTCTCTGTCTGTATAATCATCTCTCGGTTGTTTCCAAAGCTAGAAATGTATTTTCAGATTAATGTTGTTGTAGTGTGCTGCAATAACCTTACTTTCCTTGCCCTTCTTTTGGAAGAACCTTAGAAATCCAGTATCCCATGTCTCTGATGTTGTGCTCATTGGTCTGTTTTATATTGCACCATTATCTTTTTTCCCATTCTTGTTTTTCGGTTGTTCATAATTGAGATTCTTTACCACTTTTATGTTAAGGGGGACTAGTTCTAGATGTGCCAATAATGCTCTGCATTTTCTGAGTAGCATTTATCCACATCAGAGAGGGTTGGTTTATCAAATATACACATTCTTGAATGAGTTCATTGTCTTTAGAAAGAACCATAGGTTGAATGGGAAGAATGTGACTTTTTTTTGAAGAAACCTTGGTTAAACCATAATTCAGAACCGGATAAGGCATATAAAAAAAAATATTAATTTTTCACGAGTTATATTTTTTTAAAACTTATTCTGGGATTTAATATTTTCTCTCAAAAAATTTAATTTTTGTTGTCATTGAAAAAAATTAAATATAAAATTTTAAACAAAAAAATTGCAGATAGTAGTAACAAAAATTTAAATCTAAAAATTTAATTTTAAACTCTTTGATGATAGCTTTTTTATAATGTTCTAAACATAATTTTAAATGAATCATTAAAAATGTTTTAAAAAAACATTAGAAAAATCATATGTTTAAACTTTTTTTGTAGATAATTTTTTTACAAGGTTCTAATCATAATTTTTGACATATTTGTTTTCATAAAGATATATGATTTAAATATAAAATAATTTACAATTAAAAGCTGCACAATGTTCACTAATGAAAATTGTACTATTTTTTATTTGGACTTTTCTCTTTCCAATTTTCAAAATTAAAAACTAAAACCTCAAGTATTTTTATTTTTTAAAATGCATAAATAGAGGTTTGTTTTAAAAATATATGTGTAAAACTAAATTACTCTCTTCATTCTTTTTTAAGTGTCATTTTTATGAAAAAATTATGTTTCTTTTAACTGACCTTTATAAAGTTTAAAAAGGGTAATGATTATAATTTTGATAAAATTATCCCTATCACTTTATCATGGAGGGAGAAAAAAAATATTATAGTTAAAGTAACCATAATTATTAGTTTTCTTATATGTTTAAAAATTTAAGAAATGACAATTAAAAAGGATCAAACAAGTTTATCATTTTTAACTTTTTTTTATTACAAAAAGAGTACAAAGTCCATTATTATATTCAAATTTAAAAAATTTAAAAATAATTTTACAAAACTAAATTAAACAATCCCCATTTATGTCAAAATTCCATATAAATCCCTAAATAATATTTTCAGTATTTTTTTTTTATATATTCTTATACTTTTATTTATTTTGATAAATATAAAAAAGTATTTTTTATTCTTTTTTAGTAATTTCATTTTGATCTGACCTGAGCAGAAGGGGACCAAGGACTTGCCACACGCCGTTGATCTGCTGCCTGTTCACCGGTGTTGAAAAGGAGATAGGGGGTGCACCTGCAAGACACTCCGATGTTAAAGTAAGAGTTTGGACAGAGTGACAACAAATACAGAAAAAGGGTAAGAAGAGAATACCTGACCCTCTTGTGAAAGAGGGTATTTATAGAGAGACCCCAGCGCAGGGCCAACGGTCATTTGAGTTGGGCTGGATGGTCAGGCCCAACCCAAGTGACTGCTAGGGCTTACGTGGCGTAGTGAAGACCGGAACGTGGTCTTCGCCCTAGTTCAAATGTCCCGTGATCTCCGAAAATAGGGGTTGACCTGCTCTTTCGGAGGTGGGCAGTTTGGTTGGTGACGTGTCCCCGCGGAGGGGAGCACGTAGAGAACGTGCGAATGACACGTTGTTCTGCTCGACAAGGGAGGCGTTCTGCCTGCAGAGGGGTCATTGTCTACCCAGCGGGGACCATGTGCTCGATGGATGTAGCCCAAGTTGTATTGAGCCTAACAAAGTATCATTGGGTTGGGCCTGCCCGGTCAAGCCGGGGCCCAGGCCAGAACAGGAGCCCCCCAAGTCGTAGCTCAGAGGGAGAGAGTGAGGACTTGATGACGTTGTGCCAGGGAGGAGAGGTTAGCCCGAGGAGAGAATCCACCAGCTCGTACTTTGAGGGGACGCGCGCGCGTGAGTCCTTCCTCGTCATGGGGTGTCCGGGGGTTGAGAACACGTGTTGGTGGGGAGATGTGAAGGGACGCGACTGTCAGCCTTTGCCACATGTTATGCGTTGGATGGCCATGAGGGAGGCTACCCTAGGGTACTCGAGTGCCTAGTGACGCTTCGAGTCCCGTGCTAGGGTATAAGTAGGTGAGTCCCCGTCCATTTTTCACTTTCGCCTTACTTGCTTTCTACCACGAGGATCTGCTGCTCCGCTTTCGTTGGACATCTCCGCCGTGACTGCCGCCACGTATTCCGTCGTTCACCGCAATCTAGTAAAATTTTCTTCTCTTTTCTCTTGTTTTTCTTGTATGTTTCGGAACTGGGGTCAGAACGTGTTGAATTCCCCGAGGAGAGAGGTGCACCTCCGCCGTTGTATGTGGTGTTTTCTAGGGTTTTTAGATGAAGGCGCCGAGGACGCGCGAAGGAACGGTTGAAGCTCCCGGGGACATACGCTTATTCTGATGAATGCCCCGGGGAGAGACGATAGGCTGGTTGAACGTCCCGGGGGGAGTGCGTAGCTTAGGCGGATAGGTGTCCCGGGGAGAAGAGAGGATTTGGAGTGAGCCCCCGAGGTGGATGCCCGAGTGCTTTTCAACCGTTGCTCGCGGGGGCTGTCCTCGTCGCCCTTTCACTTGACTTGCGGTGGAAGGGTGAATTTGATCTTTGTCATTGAATTCACCGTTACCTTCTGCTTTTCAGGTGTTCATGTCTTCGTGGATCCCGGGGACTATGGTTGCGGATGAAGAGCCAGGTGCTTCTCTTGCCGACGAACAGGTCCGTCCTATCGAGGAGTGGGTGGTCGACAAGCCTCTATCCATGCCCTCGTATTTCGCTTGTGACCCGGTTGGAGCTTACGCCACAGTGGAGAATAGGGGCGTCGATGATCCCTATAACTGGCAGGTCTACCGGCCTCGAGAACACCACCGCATATGCTCGAAGTATGGGAGGATGTGGTTCCCTATGTATGAGTTTTACTTTCGGGAGGCCAGACTCAGATTGCCGTTTTCGGACTTTCATTAGGACTCTTCGATTGGCTGCGGTTGGCCCCCTCGCAGTTGCATCCGAACGCTGTAGCCTTTGTTCAGGCGTTCGAGATCGTCTGCCGTTTTCTGGAGGTCGGGGCCACGTTGTCGTTGTTCCTCCGTCTCTTCCATCTGCAGCGGCAGACGGTGAACGGCCGACATGGATGGGTTTCGTTCAAACAACCGAACAAGCTTTTTAAGACGTACATGGACTCTGTTCGGGATTTCAAGGGGTGCTTCTTCATCGTCAGTCCGATCACTCTCGTAGGGGTCGACTCATTGTACCAGGAAGGGGAACGGGTAGTGAATGGCCGGAGGGAAGCCGTCATGTTGCCGAAAGTGCCCGTGGAGTGGACTGACGAGCATTTCTCCAAGGGGACCGATTGATACATCGTGCACGCGGGGTCCCTCAATGACGAGGACATGGCCAGCTATTTGAAGATAGTTGCGTTTGTGCCCATCCTGCCCCCATCGAATCTAGTGACACCTAATGGCTGGTACATCCTCAACAGTCAGGGGAATATCCTCCAGAAGGCGAGGCTGATCAATACGAAGGCCCTGCTCGAGTGTTCCTCGGAGGAGGAGGCCCTTAGCTATTTAGGTGGTGGCTGCCTCGTTCTTCCCTTTACTTCTCATTTTTGGTCTGTTACTGACTTATTTATTTCAATTTGCAGGGAGCATGTCTTCTGTCGAGGAGAGGGTGAAGAAGTTGCATGCGTCGAGGCCCGTTGCTGGTGCGAAGACACGGTTAAGTCAGGTAGCTGCTGGTGACCAGGGCGACAAGGGTTCTTCTTCGTCTTCTCAGGGCAGCGAGTCCCCCACGTCTCAGGGGCCCCCGAAGAGGCCTAGGGTTCAGCAGACGGAGAGCATGGTCGACTTGACGGTCGGCTCCGCTGAGGAGGGTTTCACAATCCCACCCTTCCATCAGCATCCCGGTTACTTCCACGGGGCAAGGTCGCCTAACATTCCGGTTGGGGAAGTGAAGACGGTACTCGGTACGGACCGGGCTTCTCGTCAACAGGTTTTGAGGGAGGACTTGGCCGCTTTGATGCGAACTTTCACCACTGCTATGGTCCTGGGTGACGAGAGCTGCTCTGCTGCCGAGTTGTCCAAGCTGCAAGGGGACCTCACCTTCGCGCAGTCGCGCTTGAATAAACTTACCGAGGAGCTGGAGAAGAGCAAGGGGGAGGTTGTCGACCAACGCAAGAGGGGAGACAGTGCCGAGGAGAAGTTAGGGGCCGCTGAAGCGGAGGTGCGAGCACTGAAGGCTCGCGTGGGGAAGCTGGAGAGTGCCCTCCGTCCTGCCGAGGACGAGACCGAAGAGGACAAACAGATGGTCACTCGAGCAGACTTGCTCGCTAGGATCTGGGTGTTGGAGAGCGACTGCTTCGAGGCAGTCGCGGTTGGTTTTAACGGTGCTGTCGCACAGCTCAAGGCGGTTAACCCTGACGTCGCCCTGGTCGAGGATGGAATTGGGCCTTCCCACGAGATTGTCGACGGAAAAATTTTACCCTATACCCCATCATTTATTCCCCTACCCCTACATTATATATTTTTTTTACTAAAATATCCTCATATAAATAAGTGTAAAAATTTTCTACTATAATTATTTAATCCGAAATTTAATAAATAAATCTATCTTTAAAAGTTACTATTTATTAATATT